AAATAACGCATAAGTAAACCGCAAGTTCTGAAACCTAAAATCAATTTCCATTTATTTTTTCTAGCTAGAGAATCAAATAGAATAAAACGTAGGAAAACTTAAACTATTGTTTAGAAATAGGAGTTATATAATACAAGATATCAGAAAATTCGTAGTGAATTGATAATAGAATTGAAATCAATCGGAGAGACCTGAGAAGTTCCAGCAGAGCGGTAGGAGGGAACAGAGGCGTGGAAGGTGCGAGTGAAGAAAGAGTGTGAGAGGAACTTAGCGGAGGCGACATTGGTGGTTGTGAGTGTGTCCATCATATGAAACAGAGAAATGGAATTTGTAGTATTGTCGGAAGCATGAGTGAACAGTGGTCTGAAGCGAGAGCGAGAGGTCCTAGACGCAGTTACTGCGGCGAAAACAGATTTGGTTAGGGTTGGAGTTCTTCTGGTTGCCATTGACGGTGACACGAAGCAAGGAGGAGGTGTATTACGGTGTACAGTTACAGTGGGTTTATCAAAATGAAGACAAAGAGCATCTGTAAAGTTTAACTTGGGGAAGGGGCAATGGAACCTGGTAGAAAGTCCTAACTTTCCTCCTTTTTATTTATTAAAAAAAAATCCTATCTCGTTAAATTATTGGTTTTGTGTGGTAATTTAACTCAAATAATTTAATTTAGTCTTTATAATTTAAAATTATTTTAAAAAATTTGCGTAATACTTTTAAAGGAAGAAAACAACATTTAAAAAGGTAAAGTAGTTCTTGTTAATTATATTAATTTTTATATTTAAGACGAAATTATAAAAAGCTAATAAGAATCATTTTATATATTTTAATTATAAATGCTTTTTTTAAGGATTTTAATGGTAGGACTAAATTAAATTTGGAGTAAAAATATAAAATTCAAATGAATAATTTAATCATTTTCTTTTTTTGACATTTTATTCTTTTTTCAATTTTATGAGTGAATTTTATTTTTTCCGTCCTTTGTATATTTATTGAGTTTTTGTGTGATGTTATTTCTTATCTATTTTTTTTTTTTTGGGAGGTTATGTTCCTTATCTATTTACACACAAAAAAGACATTATTTCTTAGTGGAAAAAAAATTATCTCTTAAGCAAGTTTGTTGTAAATTTATTTATTTATTAAGTGATTAAATTTTTTAGTATATTCTCTCTAAAAAAATTTCATGTATTATCCTTTAACTATTTTTAAGTTTTAAATTTACACATTTAAAATTAATATTGAATTTTTTTTAAATTTTTTGATATTTTTAACTATACTATTTATATTTTTACTTAAATTAATTGTATATGATTATTTTACTATTTTATTTTATTTCTTAATAATTTATAGAGTAAATACTCTTTTGGGTCCTTAACAAAAAATACGGTCCCCACTTTAGTCCCTTACAAAAATAAATTAGTCAGTTAGTTCCTAACAAATTCAAAGTAGACTCATTTTAGTCCTTTTGAAAGACTAATATGGGTCTTTTTTGAATTTGTGAAGGACCACGATTTCAACTAAATTGGTCCACTTTGAACTTGTCAGGGATTAACTAACTAATTTATTTTTATTGGGGACTAAAATGGAGACCGTATTTTTTGTTAGGGACCAAAAAGAGTATTTACTCTAATTTATATTTGGTATAAATTTAAAAATAATCGTATTATTGCATGTAATATTTGTTAGTTATTAAAAATAACAAGGTATTTTTTTTAGATATTTTAATCGATTCATCGCTGCGCGACTAGTTTGATTCAGGACTGATTTCGAGATTAAGGCTTTTAAACTCATCCAAAAAATGGTAATCGAGCAAATGCTCTCACCCCACTTACTCAATTCCTTGGCATTAACTGAACTATTATCATTTGGTTAAAAAATTAAAATGTTAATGACTATATAGCGCTAAATTAACATTTTATTGCAGTCATTAACATTTTATTTTTTAATCGATTGGAATATCTTAAAAAATAAAAAATGTCTTCATAAATGACACCATATTATTGTAGTAGTAGAAAAATATAATATCAGATAACTAAAAATCAGCCATGCACAAAATATGAATTCCTGTTATTCTAGATTTTAAACAATGTTTCCGAATGTTACAGAGCCTGAAAAATCTATTAAAATTGAAATAAGATATGCAAACACGATTTAACAGAACTGAACTGCAATTAGTGAATAGTGTGTAGCAAGCCTACAGGTAACCATATCTATAGTGTTTTACATTCATTCATCTCTACTCCATTGAACGAAACACTATCTTATAGTGTCTTACGTTTATTCATTTCTACCCAAAAAACACATTACATAAATTACAAACTCCCTTCTCCGGGGGCTGCCCCCTGCTACTCCTCCGTGGTTGCCGCTCCAACCTCCTCGTACTCCGCAGCTGGAGCGACCTCCTTCTCGTCAGTAGCTGGAGCAACCTCACATTGGTAGACCATCCACATTACCTCAAATGGGTCAGAAGCACGAGTGTGTCCATCATATGAAACCGAGGAATGGAATTTGTAGTATTGTCAGAAGCACGAGTGTAGCCGGAGAACGAATTGGTAGTATTAATTATCTCCTAAGCAAGTTTATTGTAAATTTATTTATTTTTTAAGTGATTAAATTTCGTAGTATATTCTCTCTTAAAAAAATTCATTTATTCTTCTTTAAATTTTTTTAAGTTTTAAATTTTAAATTTTCAAATTAATTATGAAAATTATTTTTTAAATTTTTAATTATACAATTTATATTTTTACTTAAATTAATTGTATATAATTATTCAATAATTTTTTATTTTTTTCACTTAAATCTTTTTTAATTTATATTTTGTACAAATTTAAAATTAATCATATTATTGCATGTAATTATATTTGCTGATTATTGACGTGATGCAGCATTATAAAATATACTTGCTAACTATTAGGAAGTTAATGACATGACGCGGAAAATACAAGTGAAAAAATATTTAAAAAGTTAATTGTTTTCATTCAATATCAAATGATTTTTTAAAATTATTTATAAATCTTAATTGAATATTAATAGATTCTTTTATTTAAAAATATTCTTTAATATTTTTTCAATCTTGTTTAAATACACCCCTAACTTAAATCATTGATTGAATTTTACATCAACATTAAAATTATATTTATCCTAAATTTTGATTTAACTTAATAATTTGTTTTAATTTAAACAACAAATGGAGCTATCTATACATTTCTCCAGGTCGTGTTTTCACTGTAAATATTTCAAGGGTGTTCGGATGAGATGGTTTAGTGTTGAGAAAATATATATAGTAGCTATAGGCAAGTAAAGAGTGGGATAAGCCTAACTTGTATGCAGGTCCATCCACTAGACGATCTATTGTTATGAAATAGGTAAAGTGTGAATTTTACAAGTGTCACAAAACGTCATCACAGATATGTTATGAACTGTTTAGGGAATCATCTCACTGAATCATGTATTTGATTCAAAACAAAGGAAACATGAAAAGGAAACAATTTTTAAAAACATTTAAAGTGGATAAATTAAAACAAATCGAAATGCTTTCTAGATATTCAAAAAACCACTTAATATATTATGCATACCAAATAAAGTATTTTCTGAAACTCGAAGCTATGAAAACCACTTACTGTAATAGAACAAGTGAATAAGGTTACAATTGTTCTTAAGAATCTTACTTGATAACACAAGTTAATAGGGTAAATTCATCTTTGTACATATAACGAGTTATAATATTTTTGCCATGAAAAAAATATCACACCTAAGGATATTATATTCACGTGAGAACTAATATGAAACTAAGCGAGAAAGAATTCACGTTGAGAGCACAAGTGAATAAAGCATATTTGCATCGGCAAATATCACATTTTTACATATAAAAATGTTCAATCAAACAGGCTTTTGAAAGTTCTCTAAGCTAATGAAGAATAAATTTTTGGCCTTTAAAATTGCACTCGTTCATAACATATCCAGACAAATCAAAATAAATTATCACAAGAATAATGATTCAAATAATATGTGCTCCATACATCGATTGAATATAACAACAACAAAATACATGCAAAAAACCCCACAAAATACAAACATTTTGCTTTCATTGAGAGTTGAACTCAAGACCTCCCGCTTACTAAACGGGTGCTCTAACCAACTGAGCTATGAAAGCAGTTGGCACATATACCTTGGAGTTTAAAATTTAATCAATAGAATCTCTCGCGTGTAAAGTCAGACCATTCTCTAATGGTCTACTTTATAATTAAGGCTATTAACTCCTGAATATGAATCTTTTTCTTCTTTCGTTAGAGAAATAAAGATGAACATTTTATTAGCAAAAGAGTGAGGCATTTCTCACTTTATATTATTCTTTAGCTATTGTCCTTGGGAGTTTAGGGCAAAAGCTTATAACTCTGCTAATCGTTTGGCCTCTATCTACCGTTGCAGCACTTCGAAATATTATACAAAACTTGCCCTCTTGAATATTGAATATGTGCGCCAATTTAATTGTTTTATTTAAATATATTTTATTTTTTAAGTAAAATAATTATGTAATTATTTGTTTGCTAATTTATTATTTAAAACCTTTATTTGTGACATATGATAATTTATTCTATTTATTGATTATAACGTGTGAATTTTTTTTCCTTTTTCTTAATACATGATAGTTTTTTCTTAGGAGTAAGAGTAAGTATACAGATGTATTCAGAGGCGGATGCAGGTATGGGAGAAGGGGGCAAGTGTCCAACCCTTGAATTTTGATATGAAAATACCAAAATATCCTTCACTTACAAATTTTATTCCTTCTATCTCTCACTTTCTTATCACACATCTATCTCATTCTTTTCTAATTTAAGTGCTACGGCACTTTGTGCTTTTCTTCCCTCTTTTTCTTTCTATTATTTTCTAAATCCTAATTCCACTTACTCACATATCAAACTACAATATACACCTATATATAGACTTTACTTACCGACTTTTTCTTCTATATAATATAATATTCTAAACTTTTGCTACTTGGACTTTTCTTTCCTTTGCTACAAGTCTACAACTTTCTACATCTTTCTTCAACGACATGTTTTGTTTCATCTTTGCCAACTTGTCTTCTTTTTCATTTGTTTATTATTATTTGTTGGCAACCCATCTTGAGTGGCGTAGATTCTTCTGGTAAATGGCAAGTCTTTTATTTATCAAATTTTGTAGATTCTTCTTGAACGGCGGTGGTAGCTTTCTGGTTGCTTCTTTGATCTTCCACGCCTCATAGCTTTAGGAATTTTCTGGTTTAGCAACTCCTAATTCTTCTATGATTTTCTAGATTGGTGGTGGATGTTGCAAAGTCAAATTTGATTTCTAACAGAAACATAGTTTGAGCTTGTTATAATAATTATATTGTTTCGCAGAGATTCTTTCCTTCGGAGATTGGAAATGATGTGGACAGGGCTCATGCTGTGGATCCAGCAAAGAGTGCATTTCAGGTGAAGGCCATTGAGGCTGAAGGAATTTCTCGTACCTTTGTGTTGGCCAATTTATTTGCTGTTTACTTCCTTCTCCCTTTGTCACAGCCTGGAGTCAAATCTCAACCTAAAGATAAAGTAGTTATTCTTGGTGATGGAACCGCAAAGGTTAGATCCCATTTTTTTGCATTTCAGGTGCAGATGTGCCCACCCTTTATCAAATTCCTGGATCCGCCACTGTATGTATTATGTCAGGATTGATTACAAATATATATATATATGTGTAAGGATTAGTTGTGAATAAAGTATTGTGTGAAAAACAAACTGCTTGTTTAATTGTTTTTAAATAATTATGAAAAAATTAGTAAAATTTGAATATGTTAATTTATAAGTGATTTTAAAACAAAAAATCATGTTTTTATTATATTAAAATAATCATTTCTCACATATTACATTAAATAAAACATGTGAAATTGTTGGATTTTTTGTTGTTGTAAAAACGGAGGGCCAAGACCCCAAATAGCAAAAAAAAAATTACAAATAATGACACAAAGCAAACGACTTATAAACATCCTTCAACAGGAGTTCCCTAAGATGATGAGAGGGATTAGAATAAACAATAAAATTCCTATCTCCCTTGTGAGGGCACGTAGCAAGCCAGTGAACGCAAATATATTATTCTCCCTATTAGTACGTTTACAGCACACAACCTAATCCTGAGAAAGCCACTTGCGAATCTGGATGACAACTCGAGAATCTCTGGGATTAAGCTCACTACCTTGGAGAAGTGAAATGGCATTCAAAGAGTCACATTCTAGTATTGATTTTCTAGCTCCAATACCCCATGCCAACTCTAATCTTTTTAGAATACCCCACAGTTTCGCGTCCAGGGGATTAACATAACCAAGCTTTTGTTTAAAGCCACCAAGGAAAGCACCATTATGGTCTCTTATGAGACCCCCACAACTAGCAAATTTTCTAAGATAATAAGAGGCCAATCAATGTTAATCTTCAACCAACCTTCTTCTGGAGGGATCCAATCCATATCCATGCAGCTGGATAAACTATCAGCGCTCTTCTTCAATTCACCTCTAGCTGAATTTATATGGGAAATAAAATCAGAAATGTCAAGCTTACCTTTATGGGATCTTCGAAAATATTCATCATGGATGTCTTAATTATGCCAAATCCAGAGATACCAGCATGTTGGGATGAAAATATCTATCCAATTAGATTGCCCAGTATAATTCCAAGCTCCACAAACATTTCTTTGAAGTCAATCTTTAGTGTCCAGGGTAAAAAACTCGATAGGCAGACGACTACCAAACCAATCCCTCTAAATATTATGGGCATGTCTACAGTCTCGCAGAACATGGATGATAGTCTCCTCGTTGTTTGAGCAAATGTTGCAAATATTGGCCCCTTTATTCTATTTACTCATTCTACTACTAACCGGGAGTCTGTTAAGCAAAGCCAGCCATATTGTAGTCTTCATACGTTCCAGACCTCTCCAAGTCCAAATTTTCTTCCAAAGAACATCAACATGCGTCTTTGGAAAGCCCATCAAATTTGTATATGCAATCTTTACTAGAGAAGAAAAGACATGGTTTTTCAACCGTACTAGCCTGTCCTCTGTGTGATAGCTAGGCCAGAAGGATGACCCAGAATCTTGGATGCAATTTCATCATTTAACTGTACTGGTTGTCCCAAATCCATTGAGGAGCCATATCAACAATGATTTTATGAATATCTATCGTAGGAATCTGAGGTTAGGCAAAAGAGCTAAGGTTCTCATCCAACCCCAACCAGTTATCCATCTAAAATATGATTGATTCACCATTTGTTGGAAAAATTATTTGATTAATAGTAAAATGGTATTTGTCTAACAAAAATGACTTTTTTAATGTATACAAATTTGTATAACAACTTTTCTTATCCATAGAAAGTCATTGCTAGATAAAATACTCTTTGTTTTTTGGGTGTAAAAAACTGTTTTGAAAAAAAAAATTAAGCAGAGTTGTTCTATACTAGACAACCTTGGGCCCGAATGCAATTAAACTCACAGGCCAAGGGCTAGTTACATCAGTCTATAAGCACAATGTATGTGTACTTCCATTATTGATCGAAGCATGATCCTCGCGATATCCTCTTTCCAAGTTGACAATGGAATTTGTCTCTCTAATCCTATTAACAGTTTAGCAGGGCTTGTTCATTAACTTTTCTCTAATTCAGTATGCTTCTATATCTATTATTCAACACTTGACATTTAAATTGGTTGATGGTGCAATTTCTTCTGTCTTTTTCATAATGGCTCCATTGTGTACTGAAATATTGTGGTAACAAAGGATGAAGTATCTCAATGCATGATTGTTTAAGGCAATGGTATAAATTAGAGTTCAAGGAGAGTCATCATAACAGTCACATAAGATACTATGAAAATGGGAGAAAATGTGTGAAGGTTATTGTAACCCTAGAATTCGTTAGAGTAACAGTTCATAAAGTATATGATAGCAAGTGTCTCTCCTGTCTAAGATGAGGGGTTTATATAAGTAGGGGAATGTTCTCTAATGATTAGAGTCTGAGGAAAAAACTGTTAGCCTAGGCTCCACTCTTACAATGAGACACGTCACCATCATGCATATATGATGGTGAGCTGTGCAACGAGAGGAGAATTCCCTAAGGTGAGGTTCACAAGCTCACCTGTGGTTATGGGTACTATTGGACTGGACCCTTAATGGGTCTTGGATGGCCGACCAAACTTATTGGGTTTGTGTGGATCAACTAGAACAAGTACTTTATTAGACAATGAGAGATGATGCTTGAAAGGATCCCAACTCTCGATTCAACGAATGATTGAGGAAAAATGTGCAAATAAAAATGCATATTATGCCTTTATATGTGGAGGAAAATATCACATCGTAATTTACCTAAGATCATGGAGACACTAACAATCATATAAAAGATCTTTGCATTATTTATCAATAGTTATTTGAGAGATTCTGAACCTTAATATGGATCAAGAAACATTGGAATTAATTGTCTATAGTTATCCGTGAGAATTATCATATAGTCGTATGCTTGAGAGATATTAGGTTGTGTTTTGGATTAAGAGATATTTGAATTAACCGTCAGCAATTATTAATGGAATTTATCATTTGTTTGAGAGATATTAGGCCTAGGCGGCACCATAAATCAAAATATAGGACTAGATCACCAATAAAGAAATAAGCTTCCCGTATACCAAAGGCACCCTAACATTCTTACCAAACGCCCTCTTAGTGCGTATCATTGGTTTGAGCATGGAAGATGCCATTACAAATGTTCCTACCACTTATAATCACCTTTTGCATCCTCCGTATGCTCTAGATCAAGTATTGTTTAATCTATGGAAGCAAAAACTCACCGCTAATTATGTATTATCATAAGTGACAAGTAATTATTTCAAATTACAAAGTTGTAATTTAAGAGAATGCGTATGGAACATTGATAAAGTTATTTATTGATAACCAAGAGATCACGGGTCCAAATTCACAAAATAATATTTTTGTAAAAATATAAGGATGAAGTTCATTTAACTGTATCCTCCAAAATAAAAGTTTTTTGAAATTATATATATATATATATTTTGTGAACAAAATGCAAAAAATATTATATTTTGTTATTTAAATTTTTTTTACAACTACAATTAATTACGTAATAATTTGTATATAAAATTTTCCATACAAAATAGCATTATAAAATTTATAAATGTGATAAAAGTTAGTATAGTAGATTTTTTTTTCTTAACTCTCTTTCACAAATAGTATAATATTTAATGAAAACATTAACTTAAATCCTAAATCATAATAATTATGTTCGCCGTAGATATGATAAATAAGATTTTTTCTCCTTCATACATATGTTATTCTAATTAATATATATTAAACTAGAAAATAGATAAAAAAAGTATTCCCCATTTAATTGTGTTTTCATCTTATCCTTTAATACAATATTAAAAAAAAATATATTTTCTCGAATTACATGAGATAAAATAATTTTATGCATATACAAAAAAATGGATGACATTATTAAATTAAAAAAAGAAAAAAGAAAAAGAAAAATTTCCCATATTTTTTATATACGCGCGAGATAATTTGTGTCATATAATATAAGAAGCTATATTCCTGCTAATGAAGTTACATTTTTTAATAACTCGTTCTGAAAAAGGTGTAAAAAATAATAAAAGTCAAGTTTATTCAATACCAACACACCACTATGACATGCAGCCTAATCTGACGAATGCACTTTATTCCAGTATCCAAAGTCCAAACCAACAATACCGACGTGCGATGCACCTATCTATATGTAGATTTTAAAAAATCCTACTCTTCAAAAACAATTTATTTTATATTATTTATTTATAGCTGGCAACGCATGCCTTGAAATCAGTGTCTTAGCCAGAGGAGAGAGTGACCATTTTGTCACATTTAGACAAAAAAATTACCAGACTGTCACGCCAACAGTAAATTTTATCAAAATGCCACGCGGCATAATTCGCTACTCAATGTAGCGAATTATGTATGCAAGTAATTCGCTACACAGTGTAGCGAAATATGCCACGTCAGAACAAAAAATGTCACATGTCAAATTTTACAAAATTCGCTACCCTATGTAGCGAATTTTGCGAAGTTTGACGTGTGGCATTTTTGGTTCTGTGCGTTCTGACGTGACATATTTCGCTACACTGTGTAGCGAATTACTTACATGTATAATTCGCTACACTGTGTAGCGAATTATGCCGCGCGACATTTTGACAAAATTTACTGTTGGCGTGGCAGTCTGATAAATTTTTGGTCCAAACGTGACACTTTAATCACTGTTTCTAGCTAGAGGTTTACCAGGCCTAAAGTTATTGTACCGAACCCAAAGGGCCGCTTGCTACATATTCGTCGTGGTTACGGCGGGCAAGAGGATGTTTGCATTTTGTAAAGAGCAAACATAGGGGAATGCAATGTTGTTTTATTATAAAGTGAAGAAATGTCATATATGGCATAAATAACATATCAATAAGAAGGTTACCATCAATAAATTGTTTAAAATTTATACAAAACGAGGCAAAACTAAAAACCGTTTTAAAAATGTGAATGAATAATTTTATTAAAATTGTTATATTTTTAAAAGATAGCTTATAATTATAATATATATTGGTATAGCTAATAAGTGGAGATCAATGAACAAATTATTAAGGCTGAAAGATCCTTGGTTCAAATTCTATGCAAAATAATTTGGACTAATACACAAGGTCTCCGTATTTTATGCTATGAAAGAGAT